TTTTGAAAAATAAATTCAACCTTTTTGATAGCGAGCGAAACGCATTTGTTAAGAGATAAATTTGCGAACATACACTTGAGAGAAAAAAAACGTTCAATGGAATCTTTTTTAACACAGAAAGTTTAGAATAGGATATTCCAAGGAGTTGAAGAGCCACGCGATAAAGTGTATCCAAAGAAAACAGGAGGAAAGTTACTAAGAACAGTTTCCCCTTCAACCCCATTATCTGGTATGGTCGAAAAAGTAAAAGCACGTCTCCAAAGAACCACAAGTACAGGAAAATACAACCTATAATGTCACACAATGTTCTGATCCATTGCACTTTCTCAGGAATGGTCTCCGTGTCATGAAATTGGCAGTTGAATATGGTTTGATAGTAGACGTAGGTTATAATTATATATAGGACACCGATAATAGCAGCAGTCAACAATGAAATCAAAGCACTGGTACACAGTGCTTTCCACACTGTGGAAAGAGTGGATGGTCTGAGCCGCTTCCAAGCCATTGCTCGATCTTCATCTTTTTGGCCGCCTAACGTCTCTTCATTTTCCTCCGGTGTGCACGCGTCTATACATCTCACATTAAGACTTGATGAATGGAGATAGGAAAAAGCTGTATCCCTTCTATCGCTGTATTCTTGAAATATAAACTCATCTACGGGACGATAATACCATTCTCGACCAGTGCTTTCCAATGGATCATAGCCAAATGATTCCGCTGTAAATTCAGGTTCTTCAGGATTGTAATGCTTTGTGACACCTTGTGTGAAACTGAACACGATGTGACCAAAAACTTCTATCAATGTACTGCTACTCATTTTGGAATGATTTACTTTTACAACGAACGTTGAGATACAACAGGAAGATTTCAACTTTGGACTTTCAATATCAACTTGAACATCGATATTTTCCGTTAATTTTCCAATTTTGATTGCTCTTTCTAATGTGCAAGGTGTCATTCCTAAAAATTGGACATAGATGCGCATGAATATGGAAACTTTCAATAGTGCTTTGGACTTTCGATATTTTCTTAACTTTTTCCTCGGGAGTAAATATTTGGTGTCGTGGGCGACATATCCTTAATCACTGACTTAATATCAAAGACATGCACATAAATTATGCCAAAGAGCGATTGATATACGAATTAAAGTGAAAAGGCTTACGCAGTTCATCCCAATGCGTAGTTTTTGCAGACAACTGGTAAATGTTTTTTGCATTACAGAAGAAAATCACTGAAACTCATTTGACTCATTACTCTCAGCTATTTTTGGAAGAAAACGAAATATCTAGACTTTAACGGAAGTTTTCACACAGATGTAGCTGGAGGGAATTCTTCAGCATTAGCTTTCTGACTAAGAGATCAGGGTTCGTTTGGGAACAATCGTATTCTTAATAATTACCGGTAGATTGCAGTTAAATTAAAATCAGACCGTAATCCAGACAATAACCGTAAATTTTCAGGTTTCATTCGAAACTAAAAATTAGTTGATACTGAAAGAGCATTTTTGTATTCTTCGTGAGCTTATTCATCTCACGGTGGGGGCTGAATCAGACCATCCGAGATTCTTCTCGGGTATAATACGTATGTCAGAACAAATAATTATATCGATCATATTTACTTAAATGCTCACAATTCTGAGATTCGTTCAAAGCTGTATGATACATCAACAACTGAAAGTTGGTTAATACAGAGCATTTATTGTTTCCTTCGCGAGCTAATTTATCTCACAGCGGGAGCTGAATCAGACCATCCAAGATTCTTCTTAAATATAATACGTATGTCAGGACAAATAATTATATCGATTAAATTTACTTTCATGCTCACATAGTTCCGTGATCTTGCCGCTTTTGATCTCAAAGCCTTTTTAAATATACCTCATACGGAAGCAAGTTGTACGATGATGACATGGCGTTCGTCACATTCTATTCTATCAGCATTGCCATAACGTCAATCGTGCCAGTTTCAGTCTAAATTCTCCAACCAACAAAGACAACTTATTTTGGGTCTTTGAAACTTCTAGAGGAAATTACATTGTTACATCTTGGTAAGGAAATTATTATTTGATGTAAATATCGAAACAAGGATAATTTTGTAAAAAAAGATTCAAATATAAAGTCAGCTATAATTATTCCTTTAATAGGAAAAGATTATAAAGTCAGCTACATACATTATGTTGCGGTTAAGGGAGAGTAATTTCGTTTCATTACGATATTATGATGCCACGCTGAACTCAAATGTATTGGTGAAGCTGGTGCATTAATTTGTGCTCTGATGGTGGTGTCTGTATCGAGAAGGGTTACTCCTTTACGTTTCGGCTACAAACGTGTTTACCGCTGAATACCATTTGATTGAGTTAAAAGGCTGTGGCCCAAAAGGCATCTTGAAAGGTTGAGTATTATTAACGAAGGGAACATGAAAAACTTTCTTAACTTATGCACTCAACCATAGTGCCAATGCCACCGCATTGACAAATGCCACAAGAGTGTGTCTCTTCCATCTTTCTCTCTAAGCAGCCATGACAGCCATGTTCTGATAACTGATAAGTCTCGATCGCAAGAGACACGCTTGTGAAAACCACTCAATCAATACTAGAATTGGCGTTTGGGACTTTTCATAGAGTTGTTCCGATACGCTAATAAATATTTTATCTCGACACATTACCGAAGAGAGCGACCATCATTGAAAAAAACTTATGGCAGCTTATCTAGATATGATAAATGGACACTGGGAAGCTTCAGTTTAAGTTGGCCGATCGTCGTTATTTTTAATTACTTGATAAATGTGCACTGAACATCACTGAAGCAGTGAAACCGAGAAACTTCAGAGGCTGTTTCCTTGAAATGCAATGGAGGTGTTTTCATTCGGCCCCTAAGATTCCAGCAACAACTCTCCTAACTTTCTTCTATTTAACTTATTCAACCTTTCAGTCTGTTTGTCGAATCCAACAAGGTCCTTCATTGATGTTCTTCAAATGATTGACCAAAAGCTTAATTCGATACGGCGTTTGCGCTAACAACCTACACAAAAGAATTAAGTCTCATCTCGCGAATATTGTCGAGTCGCTTCAATCATCGTGAACAGATGGAAATCGATTTGCATGATTAGATTGCAGATTACTTGACAGGGCTAGATGATTTTTGCTTTATTGGCACTTGCACTTTCAAAACGTCATACTAAAATTACTGGAGCTTATTCATAACATGTTCATAATATGTCTACGAGCTGAAGTATTCATTCTGACTACCTCTTTATGAGGATTTGTTTAAAATTCAAACGATAGAAATACATATAATTCTTCAAAAACTAATTAATAATTCATAAGCCCATTAACCTATCAAATGGTAGATAATACATCACGTGCAGTGACTTTATATCGATAAACCTCACCCTTATTAGTATGCGGTGTTTTATCAGATATAAAGACACTGCACGTGACTTATGAATATTAATTAATTATCAACACAGAAACTGACACAACAAATGGTGGGAACATATTTAATGTAGTAAAGGCATATTAGACAATACATCATCTGAAACTTTCTTGCATACTAATTTAATCCCTAATGTTTTTCTCGTATGCTAATTTCTAACGTTCACAAAAGCATAATTGTTATGAACTCTCTTGACACACGCTTTTCCAAGAATGTTTTTGAAGCCGTTCAAAAAACTCGCAGTACGTGTTTTATCGGGTCAAAAACCACTCGGCTACGCCTCGTGGTTTTAAACCCGATAAAACACTCCTGCTCGTTTTTTAAACATTACATAATGTTGATCGTCAACATCCTTTTTCTTCAACTTTCATTAGACAAGTCAAAACTTTCGCTGCATGCAGATGGCGGGAGTATTGTTTCTTCTTTGTGAGCACCTTCACTTTCAAAACATTATAATAAAAAACTGGAGCTTGTTGGAAACATGTTCATTCGGTATCGAAGATCTCAAGTGTGCACTCGCGGACAATGACTAACAGTTTGCTGATTGAAGTTTTTGCTCGTGTTTTATTCAGCTTCACACGCGGCGTAACAGAGCATTACGACCCTGATGAGCCTGAAGTGGAGACCTTTGGATGTAAAGATAGCTTAAGCAGTGAGGGTCGAGAGTGGAATTGTCAGCCCGTTGATAAACTTATTTATCAGGAATATTCACCGCCATCGGACGACGATCATGATCTCTTGTCAGTGGGGAACTCTCGAGTTAGATATCGGGTCATTGACGCGAGCTCACCAGATGAAGATGGAGACGATCAGCAAAATGAAGATGACGAAATGGCACGGAAGCGATTCAGACCATCTGTTCTTCACACAGTTTGTCAATCAATGTATATCGGTGCATTAATTTCACTCTTAGCACCTGCCATCATTGGCCTTTTTTACATCATGATCTCTTACGTCTCGTACGAAACGATACGTAACTGCCAATTTCAACCGAAGGAGACAATCCCAGTTAAAATACAGTGGATCAGAACATTGTCTGACGTGATAGGTGATGCCTTTCTTTACATGTGGTTCTTTGTAGGAATGCTTTTTCTTTTTTGACCGTATCAGTTAAAGGGTGTGAAAAGAAAACTCATTCTTGTTGCTTTTTTCTTATCCTGTGTTGATATAGTGTATCATGTTGTCCTTCAAATGTTTGGAATATCTCATTCCAAGCTTTCTGCGACTCAGAAGATTCCTCTCTACGTTATATTTCAAATTAGCATATGTTGGCAAGGTTATCTTCTGACAAATCACTTCCGGAACCTATCGAGGAGAACGAGTTTATTTATAAAATTGACGACACCCTACTGCTCAACTTTTCTTTTTGGCATCTTTATAGCAAGGTTTATTTATCCAATGTACAACAAACAAACTGAAGATGGAACACTCCTTATTGCACTCTTCTCACCTCTCTTTGGAGTTATCCTCAAGGTAATCTTACGACTTTGAACTCAATGCTTGAAGAAAATTGTTCATCAGGGATACTCCTACATCCTGTTAGTGCCGTTGTATTTTGGATCAGCGATCATGTTTCGAGTAATGCAGGCAGAACTTGATAACCTTAAATTCATCGCTGTTCTTGGAATAATTCACGGCGCGGTAGAAGTTTTAGAACGAAGTGGCATGGTCTTCATTGATCATATTTGTCATGTAATCTTGAAAAGAAAATCAGCTCCTTGGGGAAGTTTTCGCACTCCTCGCCGTGAGAGACTAATAGCTGATATAGTTATCATAAGCATGTTGTCCGAATCAACTGCTATTATGTGTGTTAACGGATTGTTGTACGTATACCAATTCATTTACTTACAAAACACATCATTGTTGAAGCTGCTTCAGGAATTTGTCATTCCTACCTCAGTTCCGCTGGTTATTGAATAGTTTTTCACCGGCGTATCCCTGGCCATCGAGACTCGCTTTCAGAATATCGCGGTTATGGCTGTTTAGCGCAAAAGATGGAAAAGACACATTTTGTTTGCTATAACTAACCTGGTTCCACTAGCTATTTGGACGACAGGAAATCTTTTGGAATTTGTGCATGGGCGCTTTGATGAGTCTGAAGGTCACCCTTGCAAAATGCCCTTTTCATAGAGAACTTCTAAAAACTAAATGCCGGCGGTCTTTCAGCCTTCCTTGTGTTAACTGACTTGTGGTGGTGCTATATGAAATCAGCAAGTATAAAACTAATAAACTAACTAAATTACTAACTGAATAACTAATAAGAGAACAAACATCTATTAATAAAGGTCCTTTTGAAACGTTCAGTTCTGACAAGCGGGAGAATATAATTATGGCGCCTCTTACGTAGCGTATCCATTGTTCGCTCTGGTGGCAAAAGGTCATCTAAAGCTGTTGGATAATCGCTGTCGGTGATCTTGGCCCACAACTTCTTATCTTTTAGAATGATAATATTTTCAATCGAAAAAGCTCTTTACAGTAGCCAAGCTTAAAAGCTCTCTTGAACAGCCTGTCTATGCGACTCAGATACTTATGATAATACGCGCAGCCCCCCATACTTCTACAGCATATGTAAATATAGGTAGAATAAGACTGATAAAGAGAAGATGAAGATGATCCAGCGGCAGTCCATAGAATTTACAAACACGTAAGATGTACAGACGACTACTGGCTTTCGATATAATATTATCAAAATGTAAGTCCCAGTTACACGGATCAGATTGAAAAGTTACACCCAACAACTTCAGACATGGTTTACGCTCTATAGAAACCAGAGGAGCAGGTAAGGCCTTAGTGGATTTGGATTTGCCTCTAAGAAGCATCTCCCACGTTTTCTTGAAGTTTAGTTGCATACGATTAGCAGATTGTTAATGAGAAATGAGCAGAAAGACTTAGCAAAAAGCAGTTGGACAATAAATAACTTATTAGACGTTTTGGTTTGTAGTATCGCTGAGTATTTTAACTCGTTGTTTGTGTTTTGACTTGCCCTAGGGGCTCGTCAAAATACGGTACAACTTGTAAAAATAGTCAGCGATACTACACGTTAAAACGTCTAATAAGATATATGTATTAGTACTGTCATGATTCTAAGTGCAATTCGGAGTTAATAAGCACGAAAAAATTTTTCAAAGAACACAAAATTTACAGTTGTTATCCTCCACGGGGTCTCAGGGAATTAGGTGAACACACGCACAGGGCACGTTGTAACACCCTCGCACGTTAATGACTTGACACGCTTACCGTGCAGATATGCGCATAAAAAAATTGATTTTAGAGAGCGTGTTCGTAGCCATTGTTCGTATCTTGCTAATACGGTAGAGGTTTGTTTCTATAACACACTAGATTTTTTTTCTTTTAACACGTTAAGTTCCTTTGTTTCCTTAACACGCTTGCTTATCTTGTACAATCCAGCTTACTTTGTTACTTCTGTTTGTCAGCTCTTTAATTGTAGGATGGTGTTTGTAAAGTATATTGCTTACAGAATATAAGCGAAAATGAAGAAGATCTTCTGTCCTATTCGAAAGTTGTAATGAAAAACGAAACATTCACGGCAAATCATGGCTTTTTCCTTGAGGATTTTCACGAGGAATTCAGTGGACTCGAAGTGTTTCAGGTCAAGAGGAGCTCAGTTTGAACACACGAATTACTTTTTTAAAAATTAATTCTTGCCTTGTAAAATATAAAATCCATATCGTTCCACGCAGTTAATAAGCTCAGTGCCGAATCCGAGCAACAGATCTCGCCTCCATGTTAAATTGCACTGTATATATTGAGTATCGTATCGGGCGGGTGTATCGGTGAGCTAAAAAGCCTCACAGCCTAGGACGTACTTCTCTTTCAAATCGAAAGCAACTTTAAGATGCGTGTTATAAAATTGGCACGGTCACCGTGTTATATCGTGCAAAGTTGCAAGCAAGATCTTAACACGTACCGTGCGAAGCAAGACAATGACTGCGTGCGAGCGTGTCGTGTGCGTGCGTTCACCTTATTCCCTGAAATCCCGTGGAGGATTACAATTTACTTATTACACCAAACTGCAAGAGAAATCATGTTATTACTTGTTAATAATGTACATGAAAAAACATCATAGAAAGTCAAAACACACGGAAGTTTTAAAGCGTGCGTGTGCTATTTGTAATGTGCACACGTATTATAGCGAATGTCAGACGACTCGCCCCAAAGACAATTAGCCCCAGACGATTAACCTCCAGTCTCCAGACGATTAGCCCCCAGTCTTAGTAAATGTGAAGAGAAGTACAGCTGTTGGTAATTGACTTTTATAGAGTTGGTGGCTCCTAAAGGAGCCGTTTTTGTGTGTGGTTGTTAATCTTTATTAAAAATTTACATCGGTTGAACAAGGTGAGAACAGGCTTCCAGAGGCTCTTTCGAATTCCTTTGGCCGTCCTCATATTGTTTCCATATTTCGCTAGAGTAGATGGAATCTTCTTTCAATCTTTTTAGTAGGGAGGTATGGTAAAGCCATAAATTGTTTTGAGTTGGTGGGTACCGCGGTCATTTCTGTAGGCATCTTGGAGTCCGAGCCCTTGTACCTAAAATAGAAAGGCAAAATGTAATACTCTGTTGGTTAAATGATAAGCTAGTTTCATTCCGAACCTGACTGCGCGAATTTGAATTTGCCTTATTCGTGGTAGGAAGTGGTACATAGACGGAATTTCAAACTGTACCGCCAGTCTAAATACTTCTAACGATAATAAAGCGAATTATTGCCGATTTATTTAGCCAATCGAGAATTTTGAAACTGTAAACTTATAATTATTTAACAGCTTCACATATGATCTTACCTTTCTCCATAGGGCTTGTGTCCAGTGGAATGAACACCCTTTATGCGGCACATCTGGAAGGTTCTGGCGGAGAGCGCTCCAAACAGCATTTTTTAAATCCAGCATTACCTTAGTGACTCTCGGTGGGCGAGGGAGGATGGCTGATTTAAGTTGTTTCAAAGATACCTGAAGTTACTTAAACTAATGATCATATGCTTACCTTAACATTTTCACAGAAGAAGCCATCTAGGATATGTTCCATTTGTAGGTCGAAGTCTAAGTCCTTCGGGTCTTGCTGTCGTTACTGCTAGCGGGTGCGGTTAGCGGTTCTCTGCAGACTGTCAACGCGGGGAAGGCAGGGACGAGGAGCATCTGTTAGTTCATTGGGGAGCACATCGTTGACTACCTCCGACGCAGGTCTGAAGAAGTTTTGTGTAGCTTCCTGCTTAACTGGGTACTTGATTTTCGCGGCTACCATACCAACGACTGGTGCAGCATGGTTGTGGTAGTTTCCGCCAAACTCGAACACGTTACCTGGTCTTTGCCCAACGGTGGCTTTGCAGCGGTTTCCCTATTAAAATTTCGCGGGAAAGAAATTAAAATTACGTATCTATGCACATACACTCTTTTTTTCTATGAGAACATATTTTATAATAATATGGGCTGTAAAAAATATATTCCTATAAAAGAGTGTAGATGTGCTAGTAACTCTGATTCATGGTCATGACTATCGAAAGCTCTAACTTACCTACTTACTTACTCACACAATTTTATGCAATTTCAATTTTAAGTTTAGATAACCATAACTTATATAACTTACATTATTGTAAGTTATTACACAAAAAAAATCTTACCGTAGGACGAATAGTGCATTGCCAGTGGGTTGCATCCAGGCGCCGCCTCTTGACGTTATAGCTGAATCCGCAGCTGTCACTAAACTTTCGCTTTCCCCTCTCGCTGGTATCCTCCATGATCTGAAATGCCAGTGTCTGGTCTGCTTGCTCAACTGAATGGGGTGTTGGTCCCTCGATGGTGGATTCGTCAGTGGTCGGCTGGATTGCAGGTTCGTACACTGTTGATCTGATGGCGGATTGTGCATTGGCTTCTTCAATGGTCGAAGTGGTCGAAGGCTCCGCAAGCTGATCAAACGAGTCTCCTTCAGGGTTGGACTCTTCGGGCTCAAGGATATCTGTTGACAGGATAACAATAATTAACATCAGTTTCTGTATGGTTTTTGTTATGACGATTTATAACCAGATTATCAACTATCACAATCAACTATCAAAGTAAAGAAATTCAATTATTCAATTATTTCACTTAAATAAGTAAAATTTGGCGAAAAAAATACCTTATCGCTATTTTGCTCGAGTTGAAGTCAACGTCACGATCGACCGATACGGAGGTTTCACTCAAGGCAGTACTTTCAGCCTCAGGGATGTCGCATGTTAAACCGGCAACGCCAGTCGATAGACGTACCAGTTTAAACTGCGTCTCGGTATTCGAACTGTGATTGCTGCAAACGGAGGCAGCCATCACACTGGAGGCCGTAAGGAAGATCGAAGACATCGTAACGTTGATCGCGATTTGATTCACTTGTTAGAGTTGCTGTCTCACCTCAAATTAACATTCGCACGATGCCATGTGATATCTTCACACCTTCACACCCCAACAAGATCGAAATATCCTTTACGCCATTGGAAAATTAGTATCCTCCAATCAGCTTCTTTATTCAACACAGAACCAGAAACCTTACGCTGACACAAGCACGCTATACGAACGATCCAATTTCTGTTTCCGAAACCGGTATTGCACTTAAAGCTTGACGAACAGTTCTCTACCAGGCTGCCAACAAAGGGGTGTCTGGAAAACCCGAAGAGCGAATTGTCTCGAATAGCGCGAATAGTCTCGAATGGTGCGAATAGTGGCGAACAGTAGAGAATACTCCCGAATTGTGGATTCGTTGATCAATTGGAGCAATAGACACAGATAAATTCGACCAAGAAAGCTCTGTTAAAAAAAAAAAAACTAAAAACAATAAGCTATGTCCTGCGTTAGTTATCCAAATAAGCAACAAAATTTCTTTCCTATACCACGTGGCTGCGAGGTTGACTGCGACGAATTGGCTACCAAATTTCTGTCATTTGTCATTATTCTCACACCTATTTGCCTTTACTCAATGAGCATTCAGTTCTTTTGTGTACCTGTTAAGTAGAAAAACCCTCGGGTTAAAACCCGAATCGAAAATGAGCTCAGTGTCCCTTCTATCACTGTATTCTTGAAATATAAACTCGTCTACAGGATGATAATACCATTCTCGACTGGTGCTTTTCATATCCACTTTTCCTGCTTTTGATGCTCAGTCGAGTGAAAAGGGAAAAGTTTAGAGACAATGGCCACTTTGTTTTCTTAATCCTAACAGCCTCAGGGTGGCTGAAAGTGGTGTCCATCGCTCTAAACCTGTCAAATTATAACCCAACGACACACATCAAAAGCCACACACTGCATAAGGACCAATAGTCCGTGAGGGAAATAGTGCTTAGGACTATATGAAGGTGCACACTTGCATACACTGGAAGAGAATCATTTTGCTTACTTTGTTAAACACGTGGTCAATTCTCAAAAGCCCTTAAGGCCACTTCGCTTGAAAGCACAGCTTATGACACGAACCAACGCTGGAAACAAATAATTAAATGTTTTTTGTCCATAATTGAATAGTATGGCTGTCTGTATTTAAAGTCTAAATTTTAAATGAACACAGGCAGGTTTAACAACTATGACAATAACTCATAGAAAAATAACTAGTGACAAAAACATATATTCATTCATGTCTCGATGTTTCTGCATCTCTGAATTCTCAGGAACTAGATTTAAAGTGGACGATTCGTTCTAGAGAGAGTGTGCCCTCTTAGCAGCCTCTCTATACAGTGTACTTATGAAAAGCAGAAGAAGAAACTATCAAGCCACTAAACTCTTCCGAGTTCTGCGGATCATAGCAAACTGTATTCATGAATAAAACTGACATTCTCTCGAGTCAACAGAAGCTCTTAGAGAAGAAAATGATCGAAAGCTCATTTTCGATTCGGGTTTTAACCCGAGGGTTTTTCTACTTAACAGGTACACAAAAGAACTGAATGCTCATTGAGTAAAGGTATCGAGCTGTTTAATTGCCGTAGAACAAATGAAGTCCTGTCATCGTGAAAGCATCTGAAAGGATGTGTTGAAATAAGTGGTTAAAGATGATCGCGTAAGTTTCGAAAATACTGTCAACTTACTCTACGTATAAATTCATATCGAGATAATCTCTGATGTCTCACATCCGTAGTACACGATTTTATCTACGTACAGCGCACTCCAAATACACTTTCTTGAAAGGTTTTGAATGATAAATTTTCTACAATTCCTGCATCAATATGCATATCAGAATACACTTTCTATATGCATATCAGAATTAAGTATTAGGACTTGCCATTTTTTTATTAAGAAGAAAGGCGCGTGCATGAGTGAACGCCGTGTAAACGGAAAACAATGGCGTCCTTACAAGCTCTTTTTCTTTTATCATGCCCAGGACCTCGCATGCTTGTTGTCTAAAAGTTTTCTGTCGTCGCCTGTCGCAAATATACCTTGGATTCAGAAAAGGCTAAAGGACTGCTTGCCTACCACAAGCTGAGCGGGTCGATTTTGTTCTCCTCGTTGCCAGGTTTCGGTGACTGCAACGTGTCAATAATCTTGAGCAGTACACGCCCACTTCAGGCTCATCAGGGTCGTAATGCATGAAACTGTTTAATTACGGTGGAAAATTAGAAAACTAGAAGCAAACGCAGAAATTATTTATTAGGGAAGCGAAGTCCTGTCTTTATGAAAGCACATGAAAGGATATTTTGACATATCAAGTGGTTACTTTTTGAACAAAACTAAAAAAAAAATGACTAGGGTCTTCATAGGCTCTTTGTATTGAAAATCTTCGCTATACTGGCTCAATCAGTATTGGATATTGATGCACAATGCATCTGAAATCAGGAAGAATAAAATATTTTATTCGACACATTACTAAAGAGAGCGATCATCATTGAAAAAACTTATGGCAGCTTATCTAGAAATAATAAATGGATATTGGGAAGCTTCAGTTTAAGTTGGCCGATCGTCGTTATTTTGAATCACTTCGTAAATGTTCACTGAACAGCACTGAAGCAGTGAAATCTAGAAACTTCGGTTTCTTGTTACCCTGAAATGCAATGGAAGCTTTTTCAATCCGCCCTCAAGATTCCAGCAACAATTCTCCTTACTGTCTGCTATTTCGTTTATCAAGCTTTCAGCTCTGAGAATTTTATGTTGAATGAAACAAGTTCCTTTATTAATTATCATTTATTAATAATTTATTAATATTAATTATTAATATTTACTATTATTATTTTTCAAATTATTGACCGGAAGCTTATTTTCGATATGGTGTTTGCGCCAACAACTCACACAAAAGGGTAAAGTACTCATTTGACAAATACTTTCGAGCCGTTTCAATCATCGTGTATGAATGGAAAACGGTTTGCATACGTAAGCATTGTGCAACGAGGAAGTGAAGTTCCGTCATACACGAAAATTATCTCTTTGCCAAAGAAATCAGTATTTTTCGAGACTGGTCGTTAAATAAGAGGTCTTTGATGACCTTACAGAACAAAGCTCATAGGCTAAAATTGGCGTAGAAGTGATTGATATTCTATTTGTTCAATGAGGTGTAGTAATTTACTTTCAGATCTACTCTGTCGTCTCACAATCTCTAGATGGCTTTTGCTTTGTTAGCGCTCTCACTAAACTTTCATACTAAAAAAACTAGAGCTTATTCGAAACACGTTCATTAGATGTCAACGAGCTGAAGTATTTATTCTGACTACCTCTTTATAAGGATATATTTAAAATTCAAACGTTAGAAATACATATCATTAATAATATTGACCGTCAACATCGCTTTTCCCCAAATTTTCAGTGAACTGAGTGGAGTAGTCAATATTTTCGCTAACATTCAGATGGCCGGAGTATTGTTTCTGCTTTGTTAGCACTTTTACTTTCGAAACATCATGGTAAAAAACCTGCAGCTTATTCGAAACATGTCCATTCGGTATCGAAGACCTCAAGTGTGCACTCGAAGACTCTGTAACGCGGACAATGACCAACAGTTTGGTGATTGAAGTTTTTGCCCGTGTTTTATTCAGCTTCACACGCGGCGTGACAGAGCATTACGACCCTGATGAGCCTGAAGTGGAGATCTTTGGATATAATGATAGCTTAAGCAGTGAGGGTCGAGAGTGGAATTGTCAGCCCGTTGATAAACCTATTTATCAGGAATATTTACCGCCATCGGACGACGATAATTATCTCTTGTCAGTTGGTAATTCTCGAGTTAGATATCGGGTCATTGACGCGAGCTCACCTGACGAAGATGAAGACGAACAGCAAGATGAATATAATGAAATGGCTTGGAAGCAATTCAGACCATCCATTCTTCGCACAGTATGTCAATCAATGTACATCGGCGCATTAATTTCACTTTTAACTCCAGCCATCTTTGGCCTTTTTTACGTCATGATCTGTTACGTCTCTTATGAAATAGTACTTTACTGCCAATTTCACCCGAATGAGACAATCCCAGTTAAAATACAGTGGATCAGAACATTGTCTGACGTGATAGGTGTTGCCTTTCTATACATGTGGTTCTTTGTCGGAATCCTTTTTCTTTTTCGACCGTATCAGTTAAAGGGCGTGAAAAGAAAACTTATTCTTGTTCCTTTTGTCTTCTTTTGTTTGGATACAGTGTATCGTGTTGTCCTTCAAGTCTTTGGAATATCTCATTCCAAGCTTTCTGTGATTCAGAAGATTCCTCTCTCCGTTATATTTCTAATTAGCATATGTTGGCAAGTTTATCTTCTAACAAATCACTTCCGGAACCTGTCGAGGAGAGCGACTTTATTTATAAAATTGACGACACCTTACTGCTCCGTTCACTTTCTTGCCGTCTTAGTAGTAACGCTTATTTATCCAATGTACAACAAACAAACTGAAAGTGGAAAACTCCTCATTGCACTCTTCTCGCCTCTCTTTGGAGTAATCTTTAAGGTAGTCTCACGACTTTGCACTCAACGCTTGAAGAAAATTGTTCATCCAGGATACTCCTACGTCTTGTTAGTGACGTTGTATTTTGGATCAGCGATCATGTTTCGAGTAATGCAGGCAGAACTTGACAACCTCAATTTCATCGCTGTTCTTGGAATAATCCACGGCGCGATAGAAGTTTTAGAACGAAGTGCTATGGTTTTCATTGATCATATTTGTCATGTAATCTTGAAAAGAAGATCAGCTCCGTGGGGAAGTTATCGCACTCCTCGCCGCGAGAGACTAATGGCTGATATCGTTATCATAAGCATGTTGTCTGAATCAACTGCTATTGTGTGTGTTAACGGATTGTTGTACGTATACCAATTCATTTACTTACAAAACACATCATTGTTGAAACTGCTTCAGAAATTTGTTATTCATACATCAGTTCCGCTGGTTATTGAATGGTTTTTCACCGGCGTGTCCCTGGCCATCGAGACTCGCTTTCAGAATATCGCGGTTATGGCTGTTTGGCGCAAAAGATGGAAAAGACACATTTTGGTTGCGATAACTAACCTGGTTCCCTTGGCTATTTGGACAACAACAAATCTCGTGGAAGTTGTGCATGGGCGCTTTGATGAGTCTAAAAATCACCCTTGCAAAATGCCCTTTTCATAGAGAGCCGGCAGTCTTTCAGCCTTCCTTGTGTTAATTGAATTGTGTTGGTGTCAGAGACTGTTGACATATTACACTTACTGGTTATTATCATCCAACTGCTCAAAGTAGAGTACAAATAACGGGCGATTAGAGCACAAATATCCCGCGATATTGTACGGTTATTTGGACAATTTGTTGTTTTGTGCTGTAAAAAAACCTGTTTAACCAGTCGACTGGGCGCGCTACGCTTCTCTATCCGTTTTGCTTTTCCTGCCTTATAGGAAATGAGCAGAAAGACTTAGCAGAAAGTAGTTGGATAATAAATAACTTATTAGACGTTTTAGTGTGTAGTATCGTTGAGTATTTTTAAATCTCGTGAGATTTTAAAATTAATGGACTGAACTTCACACTTGAATATAATTTCTCATGTACTCATGCTAGAATTCAATGCAGTGAACCAAACCCCTGCTTCAGAGTTCTGAAAATAGACTTAAACCAATCTGTTCTAAAGTTTCAAACTATTCGCCAAACTTAATTAGATGCAGTGTTGGTAAACTTTTGCTCTTTAAGTACAACTGCTGGTGCGCAACTGAAAAGTCCCATACTTCATCCTGAGGGGTGGGGTGAGAATTAAGAAAAGAGGTTGCACTATTGACTGTAATGTCTCATCTTTCAATTTACTAAATGTCTGAGTGGAAGAGCCAGATGGGAGAATATTTGACTCGAGATCATGACCGAGAGCCAAACATTTTCCCGTCTTTAATATTATGTGAAAACTTAATTAAGTAATTGCTTTATTACACGTTTTTTGAAACAATTTGCCAAAGGAGACACTTCTCACTTAGTTTGCAAAAGTTTAAAAGCAGACTTTGAACTCAACATGATAACCCAATATCTGTTGCAGATGCCGGGTTATCATGTCAACTTCATACGCGTATGTATACTGACTGAATTCTCTCCAACAAATCAGAGTTTTCATCGTTACTCTATTGTATAAAAATATTCCTTTTTACTTTGTTAAGGTCAGAAAAGCAATGATAGTTGTATATTAACAGAGAATTACATTGGCGACATAAACGTTTGAACGTCCACAAAATCAATAATAAGTTTGAAATCACTCGTTCTGTAACTACGGAATTTTACACTCAGCAAAATTAAAGCAATTAAGAACTGATTTACTCTTCTCATTTCAAGTATTAACGATACTCCAGGCTTATATAGTACTGATATAACAATTCGATCGGTTCTCGGTGCTTGGTGAACGGAACAACATTTTACTCTCGGCGAGTATAGACTGAGTGATTTGAAAACTCTTTGCGTGTTTTATTAGCCTTTATAGTGAGTTATCAAGCCTCTATACCCCTAGAGAGTGCAGTTTATACCTTTATTCCATAGCTGTTGGTCAATCGATACAATAAAAGTTATGATTAACCGATTATGTGTGTGGTACCTCAGTCATTTTATTCTAGGAAATGACAAACACTTGTACAATTCTTTGAAGGAATAACAAAGTCATGTCTCGAGATAAATTGCGTGAACCTGTCTATTTTCCACTCAGTTTGAGCTCTTATCTATCAGATCCAGGTAAATATAACTCAGTAAAATCAGTATAAAGTATAAATCAGTAAAATTTCTATGTTAGACCTGCTGGACCACAATGCTAAGGGAACTGCATTAACAATTGCTACAAGTATATGTCTTTCCATCTTTTCCGCCAAACGGCCATGACGGCCATGTTCTGATAGTGAGTTTCTATCACAAGAGATACGTTGGTGAAAAACCCCTCAATCAGCAGTAAGATTGATGTTTGGATGATCAACAATTTAAGCAAGTTTGCAAAGGGTTCGTTTTCCACGTAAATAAGTTGATAGAAGAAGAAAACGCCATTGGCAGACGCGAGGCCGATTGACTCATACAACTTACTTACAATAGAAGTATCAGCCATTAGTCTCTCGCGGCGAGGAGTGCGAAAACTTCCCCAAGGAGCTGATTTTCTTTTCCAAAGCACGTGGCAGAAGTGATTAATGATAACCATCATGCTTCTTTCTAAAACTTTATGCAACACTGTAAATTATTCCAAGAGTAGCCATGGATTGTAAACTGTCTAAGTCGGCTTGCAATACTCGAAACAAAACAGCTGAGCCAAAATACACCGGCACCAATAACACATACGAATATCCCGGATGTATAAATTTCCACAACCGCTGAACGGAAATCCTTGAAATTACTTTCAGAACAACTCCAACAAGCGGAGCGGAAACAGCGATCAGAAGTTTACCTTCCTTGTTTAGTTCGATGTAAGCTGGGTATAAAGAAAAAGCTGGGACGAAAGCCAGAATGTCGCTAAAACAGGTCAGAAGAATCATTTGAAAGAAAAATTTGCCCGTTGTTTTCTCGAGCGTCCACTTAAAAAATGCTTCATTAAAAAATAAACTTGCACGGATATGTTCATAAGAAACATAAGATGGAAAGGTATCTTTTGCTTTGTGAAAGACTTTGACTGATTTATTCGTAACGCTTGTAGAACAACGCGATAAAGTGTGTCCAAGCCATACAATAGAAAAGTTGCTGGGACAAGCTTTCTCTTCACCCCGATCACCTGAAATGGGCGAAATAACAAAACCACAGTTACGAAGAACCACATGTATATAAAAGCATAGGAGAGGATACCAGATATTGAACTGATCCATTGAACTTAAACTGGAATTGACTGGTAGGAGTGAAACTGACAGTTGAGTTAAGTCTTATACGGGAGATAAATGACCGACATAAATAATGAGCCTATGACATTGGACGTTATCACTGAAATCAATGCTCCAATATACATTACTTTACCCATTGTGAAGAAAGCAGATGGTCTGAGCCGCTTCCAAGCCATTGATTGCTCTTCATCTTGTTTGCTGCTGAGTGTCTTTTCATTTTCTTCTGGTGCGCACGCATCTTTACATCTCACATTAAGACTTGATGAAGGACGATAAGTAAAAGCTGTGTCCCTTCTATCTGAATTCTTGGAATATAAACTCGTCTACAGGATGATAATACCATTCTCGACCGGTGCTTTCCAATGGATCGTAGCCAAAGGATTCCGCTGTAAATTCAGGTTCTTCAGGATTGTAATGCTCTGTTACGCCTCGTGTGAAACTATACACGATGTGACCAAAAACTTCTATCAATGTACTGCTACTCATTTTGGAATGATTTACTTTTACATCGAACGTTGAGATACAACAGGAAGATTTCAACTGACTTTCGATTTCAATTTTAACATTCACATTTTCCCGATTATTTTCCAATTTTGATTGTTCTTTTTAATGTGTGTTATGTCATTCCTAGAAGTTGGACGTAGATGCGCATGAATATGGAAACTTTCAATGGTGCTTTGGACATTCGATATTTTCTAAACTTTTTCCTCGGGTGTTAAAATTTGGTGTCGTGGGCGACAATCCTTAATCACAGACATGCACAAAAAATATGCCGAGGAGCGGTTGATATACGAATTAAAGTGAAAAGGCTTACCCAGTTTTGATCCCAATGCGCAGTTTTTGCAGACAACTGGTAGATGTTGTTACATTACAGAAGAAAATCACTGAAACTCATTTGACTCATTATTCTCAGCTATTTTTAGCAGGAAAGGAAATATCTAGATTTGAATGGATGCTTTCACACAGATGTAGCTGGAGGGCATTCTTCAACATTAGCTTCCTGACTAAGAGATCAAGTTTGGGAACAATCATATTCTTAATGATTACCGGTAGATTGCAATTAAAATAAAATCAGACCTGCGTAACCCAGAGAATAACCGTAAATTTTCAGATTTCATTCGAAACTAAAAATGAGTTAATACTGGTTAGAAAATGAACAATGGCGATCGGTTGGCTCTCTCGGTGTAGCGCGTCTCTTGTCCTAGTATTGTTATTTGCAACATCTCTAAACATCTCATCTGTACCCGAAAGGCTTTTTGATGATGGAAACTTGTTTCTGGCCCTTAATTTAAACTCTGCCAGCTTTCCTGGACGAAACTCTGGTCTACCAAGACGCTCAACACGTGTTGCCTCGTCGCCATCTTGGAAACTTCAAGCTTCGATTTACTTGGCTAACGTCAGTCTTTCTGCCTCGTACTTACTGCTCTTAGCCGGGGATGTGAGCTCCAACCCCGGTCCGGTGAAAGATCCGTGTGCTATTTGTTCTAAAGGATGTCGCTCAAACCAAAGAGCTATTCAGTGTGACGGTTGCGACAAATGGCACCATGCTAAATGCTTGAACATGGGCGTTGATGAATATTATTCTCTCGCAACTAATGAATCTTCTACCTGGATGTGTTTTACTTGTCTGTTTCCTGGCATAGACTGTTTAGATGACTCTAATTGCAATACTACTACTCAGCAACGGTCAGACAATAACGATTTTCATTCTGACGTTCGCATGTTACGGGGTTTCAAGATTGCTCATTTAAACGTTAATCGTTTGGTAAACAAACTCGATCATGTAAAGGAACTCGTCCACAAACACTCCTTCGACATCTTGACTCTTTCTGAAACCTGGCTAGCTCCAAATATTTTGGACAATGAGATCACGATACCAGGGTACTCGCTTGTGCGTAAGGATAGACAGTGTTTGACCAAAAGTTGTGGTGGAGGAGTTTTAATTTTCGTCCGGGATGGAATCCCCTTTGTCGTTATGTCTGATCTCATAAAGCATAACTTTGAATGTCTGTGGGTGGAAATCAAGAGACCTAAATGCAAACGAATGATACTGTGTTGTTCTTACAGACCTGATGATGGGAACATAGATGGTTTTATTTCAAATCTAGCTGATTCGCTAAATTACATCGACACTGAAAACTCCGATATTGTTTTGGTGGGTGACTTTAATATTGATTATTCCACCAAGAATCAGTTACGCCGTAAACTTGATGAATTTGCATTACAACACAGTCTTTCTCAGATTATTTGTAAACCTACTCGGGTCACTGAGAATTCTAGCACCACGATAGACTTGATGTTCGTTAACAACACTCACAA